TCAGGTGATCAGTCTGATCCGGCCTACGCTTGTGATTCTTCCTTCGGTGTTCTGCAAACGAGGTTACCTCCAAAATGGGACTGTAGGTTACAGTTTTTACTGGGTGAGTTGCTGTCTTGGGCCCCTCCTACCCAAACCTGTCACTACTCCCAAATTTGGGCTCAGATTTTTTACCCAACAGATTCCTTTCCTGGGTCTTCTTTGGAAAATTTTCCACATCACCACTGTGACCTCTTGCCAACCCCTTTCCAAAAGTCCCTAGGTTTTGATCTCTCGGAGCGTTTGCCCAAGGGTCACTTTTAGGTTAACTTTGTTAAAGGCCTCTAGAGAGAAAATTAAAAAACCAAGACATTCAGCACGTTCGCTGCAAGGCCTCTAAAGATAAAATTCAGAATCAAGACATTCACCACTTAGGCGAAAACAAGCAATGACCCTAGATAAAATGATGAACCTTGTCTTTTTTTCTAAACTGGCTAATGGGTATTTATTACAAGCATTCAAACTATTACATTCAATATGACAAAGCCCTTTTTTGATGGAAAGATTAAAGGAAAAATTGGGGAGTGGGGAACACATTCTAGTCCTGCCCAGGAAGGGCAACATTGACCCTGTGCGGGGAGCTAGCACAAAGCTTGTGTGTCACTTACCCGACAAAACAGGGCTTATGTTAGAATGATGCATAGGACAGGAAGGGGCCACCTGCATATCTGCCTCCAAAACATGTGAGTTAGTGTCTGTTGTTCATGTGTATAGCATCTGCACATACAAGCCCTCCTTATGGGCCAGGAGCACTAAGAGCTCAGTGTGGTACAAATACCTCACAAAAGAAATGGTCCCAGCTGCAAGGAGCTGCTGGTATGAGCATAAGACAAAAGACAGCAGGTGGTGACAGACAGAGAAGGGGAGTGAGGGAGCATGGAGACCAGTCTGGTAAGCAGAGACTGTGCTAATACTACTACCCAGCTATCTCCAAGATGTCTGAAGGCACCCAACAAAGGAGAGTTAATGAGTGAGCCCTGTTAGCTCATGGGGTTATTTGATTGCCAGTTAAACTATCAAGCACGTCTTTAAAGGTAAATCTTCTGGAGCACTACTAATGTTCTAAAGCAGGGGTGTCCAACTCATTTGGCCCCCGTGGGCCAGATCCAGACCCACCTCCAGCAGTGGGGCTAGTGGATGTAGCACCAACCTGTGCTGCTGCCAGGGCTGCTCTACTGGCTCAGGGAGCCCCAATGCTGCCATTGCTCACCCCGCCACTGCTGAAACGTGTCTCCAGCAAAATCCATACTCATGATTTCAGTGGCTGGACAACTGATTGAGTCAACCCCTGCAGCTCTCCGAGCTGCTACGTTGCCTCAGAGAGCCATGGGGACTGCTGCTGCTGCCCCAAATTTCTAGCCCCTCCAGGAGCCTCATGTGGATTCCCTGGGCCCGTGGCGAGTCCCTCGGCCTTGCCTGGCTCAGGCATAGGGGGCAGCCCAGGCTGCGGTGCATGAAGCCTGTCCCACCACCCCCAGGCACGCAGCACTCCACTTCCTAGCACCCTGGTGGTGGCAGCTCCTTCCAGCTACCACTGCCAGTGTTGCTGCCACCACCAGACACAGCCCTGCTGTCTGGGTACCCTGGCCTATCCACCCCACATCCACGACCGGGGGCACTGGACAGAGCGGGTAGGCAGACAGGGTCTCTGTGGAGACTGGACCAGGACCCCCATGCACAGGGTGTGCTTGGCTGGTCATATGGGATGGGGCTTCAGGCAGGTGGAGAGCAACAGCCAGGAGCTAAGCAGGTGGCTGGGGCTGGGACTGGGATCGTAGGGTGGTAACAGTATGGGCCACATAAGGTCAGAGTGGATCGTGGCTGTGCCCCAGGCCCTGGCCTTGCACTTTCAAGGCCCCCTGATCCTGGCCTGCCTGTCCTGCTCCTGGACGCTTCTCCCTGCCTGCCTGCGGCCCCATCCCATCTCCCGGCTAAGTGCACCTTGCCACGGAGACCTTGCCTGCCTGCCCCATCCAGACCACTTATGGAGTTTGGGTAAGCTGGCAGCGGAGGGGGAAGGATTGCTGATGTGGCCTGCAACAGCTCACTAAACCTCCCTAAGTGGCCTTCTAGCCCAATAGTTGCCCACCCCTGGTCTGAAAGCTTTTATCTGGGAGCAAACGTTAGCAGAGCATCTATACTCAGTTGTCTTCCCTGTGGTAAATGTAGTTCTGCCAACTCTAACAGTTTTGTCATGAGTCTTCCTCTGTTGGTCTCAGATCCTGAAATTCCTGCAACTATGGGATTATGGGCATGTCCACAGAGTACAGTACAGAGTACGGTGCAGTGCAGAGATACCGGAAACAGTATTGCTGCATAGCCCTGGCAGACCACTGTACTGATGGACGGTCCTGAGAAGCAGGGCTAATTAGCCTGGGCAGAGTGCCAGGCCAATGCAGCTCTACAGCTTCCCAGACCTGAGCAATCTCACTCAGAGCTGGATTGGGTGTCCCTGCATTATGCCATGCAGACATGCCCTCTGCCGACATTTCAGCTTCAATTAATTTTAAAAAAGCAATGCGTTTTTAATCCCAGCAGTGTCTAATCCCATCTCTTTAACTGACTGTGAAAGCTCAAAAGGCAGAAGGCAAATAACAAAACGTTATATATTTTAAAGATCTCTGATTCTTAAGCCAGCTTCACAATTTTGGAATGCTTGGGGCTGGCAATACTGGTATTGGCAATACATGAATCCAAACTAAAGTTGGCCTACAGACCATCTCTGTGATCTAGATATGCCTGAAATGAGCCAGATTCAGAAGAGCTGGTTATATGGAGAAGCTGATTGACTTCAGTGGACTTATTCTGAATTAGCACAAGTGTAAGCAAGAGCAGAATGGGCTGTTGCACACACTAGTTGGCACAAGCCCATGCTACTGCTCTGGGCACATCAATAACAGGAAGGCATCAACTGACTAGGAGGAATGAACAGTGTGGCCTTTGCCCAGAATTTATAAAAAGACATTTCAGTAAATTCTCACAAGCCCTTCAAGGTAATAGCAGGTTGAAAACACTGAATGTTTTCTGTGCAGTGTTTTCTATCTCTCTCTCAGTTTTGAACATACTTATTTTGTAGCATTTTTCCTGGTAAGTGACCACAGAAACCAGCTATAATAAACAAGTTTTCTCATTTTGCAGAGTGCCGAGTTATAGCAGAGCAGTGGGATTAGAGCTAATCAATTATATATTCCTTTACAATGACATATTAAATTCCACAATTTACTGTTCTTTTGCAGACAGAAACCCTCCTCCTGAGAGCAGAGAAGAGAGGCCTTTGTGATTGCTTTCCTGCAATGCACTGAAACAAGCGCTGGGAAGTAGCCAATGGACATTACTCATTTTTAAAATGCTATTCAGTAAACTACAGACAGATTTATTGACTACAGGTTGCATTACACTGTAAGGAAAACAATACTTTATCTCAACAGATACTGCTGAGTTAGAGCTTTTTTGCTTTGACACATTTGATTGTAATTGCGTCTGTTGTCACACATGCTGAAATGTCAAAGAAGAAACAGTGTCAAAGTCTTTACTTACATAAAGCCTGTAAGTTAGATTTCCATTTAAAAAAAAATCTCAAGCCAAACTTTACCTTTGGATGCTCAGGCAATGTCCTCCGTAGATATCAAATGGCATCAATCCATTAAAATCAATGGAATGACATCATTTCTCTCCAGCCAGGGATCAGGTCATAGGCTTTTTATTGGACCTCCCTGATGATTCAGTGGTGTGATTAGTGACAGGACATGGCCCTAAGTATCCCACTGGAGGTTACTTTGCAATAAAGTTCAAGTTAACAGTCATTCACAAGAGGTCTTGATTTTAAGAGGTGAAACAGTGTCTACCACTTGCTGCTTTGCTGTGTAGATAGAGCAGTTACCTGTAACGATATAATTATAGAAGTTGTAACAACAGGCCACCATTTTGTGTGCACAGCTATTGTATTTTGCACCACTAGCTTCTGCAGAGCCGTACAGTAGATGTGGGGGTGGGGATTTATTTATTTAGTATCTTACACAATCAGCAACATTTGGATGACAACTGCCTCGTGGCTTTGCAGGAGGTTTATGCCAACATTTTCTAAAGAAGCATCCTCCATTAAACAGATCATGAATTGGCTAGAACCATTCTCAATAGTCTCCTTCAGTGAGTTTCAGACGAGGGTCCACGTAATGTATATTAATTACTTGCATCCCTTGCCAGCCTTATTGTGAGGAATATGCAAGGGGCACTAAACTGCTGCTTAGTACATGTGTGGGCCTTCTGCCTAAGCCTGGCTTCACACTAGGATCCTAGTGTGGGAAGGTGCCAATTGTTTGTGTTCTGCCAAGTGATGCAGCTGAGTGCCATCAATTCCCCGTAAGAGAAACAGGAGCTTAGCAGGAGGTAGGCAGATGCTTGCAGCACTGGGATCTGTTACTCACTGAAAATAGAAAGTGACTTCGTCCTAGTTCGTTCCCCTCTTTTTTTTTTGTTAGGCAGATCCCTCACGGAAGCATCTTAGAATTTAATACACTTTCTACAGGGTTTTTTTTTTCTTTAAACTATCCTGTAGGAAGTAATCAAGAGAGGACCTTGTCTCTTCTGAAGAATTCAACAGGTTGGTTTAAGACCTCTAGAGAAAGGGCAGCACTGCACGAGACAATATAGCTTTCAGTGTAACATTGTTTAATGTTGTTATTAATTCCTAATGAACTGTTCTTATTGTTTAATTCCTAATTAATCCAATAGCATCTTCTTAGCAGGGACTTGTGGCCGCTCAGGAACACTGGGCTCCTATTCATCTTTTTTTACAAGTGAAACCAATTAGCTTTTAAACATTGATTGTATCAATGTCTTTATTACTTACCTCTGTATCACATGGATATAGCAAATGGAAAAATGCTAATGTTGGACTTGCCTCCTGTGACCTGGTGTCACCGGGGTGGCAGGCAGTGACTGGACTGTTAAATGTGTTTTGGAGAGAATGGAAGATGAGGGATCACAGCCCGGCTGTAATTAGAAAACTGCTTTGGATCTCAAGTCTTGACAGCTTGCAGGAGGCTTCTTGTCAACAATTCCCAAGGGGTGCAACCGACTCACTTGAGACCCTGCCACCAAACACAAACATCCTGTTACGCATCTCCAGCAACTAGTATTTAAAACAACATGACCATGTATAAATGATGCCTTGATTTTGAATGTCCTCTCAATGCTGGAGGATGCTAAAGGGCTCAATCCTGCAGTTCTTATTAAGCATGAGGTAGGATTCAGCCTTACGGAGAAGACTGCCGTTAGGTCTGTGCATCGCTGAAATCCTACTCAAGCACTGGGGACAAAGCAGGATTTAAGTGATGTAGGAGTTGCACAGAGCTCCATATCACCCTGTGAATTCAGTCAGGGCCAGGCCTGATCGAAAGCTTTGGGATTGGGCCGCAGTTCCTCAAGGAATGGAAAGCTTACACCTTCCCTCAGCCTTTATATTTCACTGCCAGTGTGCAACACACCCGGCACCTTTTTATCCTCTGCAGGGCATCAGGAACCAATACCCACTGAGCTTTATCACGCTATCCTCAGGTGTGGATCCCCTAGTGGAAGCCAGGCAAGTTTTGTGTGTAGGATTATAAAACAGCAAAATACTCCTAGTCTTATTCCACCTGTGACTGAAAGTCATTAAACACTGTGAGAGGATAGTGAGAGATACCTGCATCATAGATTAGCTATTGTTTTACAGGTTAAGTATTGAAAGTAAAATTTTCCCCTGTGCAGAAATATCATAAGACAAATGCACCACTTAAATCTCTCTTAAACTTGGACTGGTGCATAGGCCACGTGCTGTCTTTTGCACAGGGTTTAGTTTCACCACATACACAGCATTACATCTAGATTTTTCTAGCATACCTCCATCTTTCAGGGGGTGATACCTATCTGTGGTTTTCTATAGATATTTTGCGTGCTTTTTACTGCGGACACAACTCACTTAGAAAGTCCTATAACAAATGTTATTTTTTGATATGTTATGGGTCTTATTTAGAAAGCAGTTGGGATCATTTGAGTTTAACATGTTCAGTAACATAAGTGGAGTGAATGAGTGGATGTTTCCCATATGAGTATGATGTTGCCGTGATGGCAGCCATCCTGTCCAATATGCTTCTCTTTAATCTATATCAATAAAAGGTGAGGTGTATTACAATTTTTACATGCCTCGTTATTGATCCGAAAAAATCGCAGTGCACATATGGAGAGACACATGGCTGCCTGTTAATTATGAAAAATCTTAAGGGGTGGGGAAAGGTATTGTTTTGAACTGGAAAAGAAAGGGTTTGTATTTTGGACTGCATTGTAGTACATGGTGTGGTTGCTTTAAGCATACCAGTTAATTCTGTCACTAGCTTGAAATTTAGATTAGCGTGAATCATCACGGGGGGCACAGCCCCTTCTCCACTGTATTTAATGGATAAGATGCTCATTTCTTATAATTAGTAAGGGCATTTGATCTAGTGATCAATGAATTACATTATAAAGGGCAATGAATTATGTACTTCTGAATTTGAATCCCACTTGGAGCTTCGTGTAACTCAGACACTTCTTCACCCTCTAATTCGGAGAGTGAACCAGGGTATGTCACCTGGGTTGGGAAGGACTGCTGAGACACTCCATGTCAGGGACTCTGATCAAGCAGGCCTGGTTGGGCCAAGCATGCGAGTTACCGCGCCTGCTCCTGATCCCTGGCTAATGTGGCTGACCCAGTTCTCCGCAACCAGATTGGCTGCTGAGGGTACCACTTACCCACTTTAAAACACACCTACAGGCAAACTTTCACACAGCTTCAGTATGTTTTGGCAAGATTTGTGTTCACAGCTCTCCCTGGTTCTCCTGACTTCTGACCCAGCTGTGGCTTTTTCTGACCCTGATCTTGGATATCTTCTGAAACTCAGTGCTGGTTCTGCTTTCTCTGGATTTCCTGGCATTCTGACTCGGCTTGGCTTCCTTGACCTGATCTCAGATTTTCCCTGGAACTCAGCACCTGTTCTCCGACCTCTGGCTTCTGGCCTTGGCATATGTCTTGGACTACATCGCTTGGATCTTCCCTCTTGACTCTGCTAACCTGTGCCCCTGCCCTGCTAACCTCCTAGTTCAGGGCTTCCCAACCCCTGGGCCATGGCCTGGTACTGGGCCATGAAGGGTTAGCAGCCAATCCGCAGGTGGGTTGGCTGCCGGACCGGAAGTGACTGTGGACCAGCAAACCCTGGACTGGCAAACTGCAGACTGGAAGTGACCGGCATACTGCAGACCAGCAGCCAACTCTTTTTTTTTTTTTTAAATACCGAGTATAAAAAAGGGTTGGCTGCCTGCCCACAGTATGCTGGTCACTTCTGGTCTTCAGTTTGCCAGTCTGCAGCATAAAAAGGTTGGGAACCCCTGTCCTAGTTTACCTCAGGGCTTATCTACAGGCCAAACATTTTTGTTCTACATCTTCATCAATGACCTAGAAGATGGCATAGAGGGCACCCTCAGCAAGTTTGCAGATGACACTAAGCTGGAGGAAGTATTAGATATGCTGGGGGGGGTAGGGCTAGGATTCAGAGAGACCTAGACAAATTGGAGGATTGAACCAAAAGAAATCTCATGAGGTTCAACAAGGACAAGTGCAAAGTCCTGCACTTAGGGTGGAATAATCCCATGCACCAGTACAGGCTGGGGACTGACTGGCTGGGCAGCAGTTCTGCAGAAAAGGATGTGGGGGGTTATCGTGGCTGTCACAGGAGGGGCATCCTAGGGTTGCCATGCTCTCCCCTAGCATCCCTTACTGTGTCCACTTTGCCTGCAAAGCACCCTTAATTCTCGCCTGTCACATCTTTGATGTCAAATGTATATGATAGGGAGGCTGCCTCTTCATCTCCCTGGACAGTTTTCCTCCTGTACATTAGCCCTGTTTCAGTAATGGGTGTTCCTGTGCACCCCAGCCTTATGGGCTATGTGTGGCTCCAACCACCCCTTTACTGCACCCCAAGCCTCACTGATGTACCAGACATTGTTCGGTCTCACTGCCCCCTCTCTGGGGCTGGGGTTCCCACACCGCTGTGGGTCCCCTATGAGGCCTCCTCCAACCCCTAATAGCCTCACCTAAACCTCCGGTTTAAACAGCAAACACAAAACACAAGCCCCTAGGCTATAACATAAATTTCTGCCCCTCAGCTGAACATTACTCAAGCCACCCCCAAGGGTGCTCCATCCCTCACCCATACCAAACTGCTTGTGCATTTTGGCCTCTTCTCTTTTCTTGCTCCAGCAGAGCTCCTTCCCCTTTGGCTGCCAGTAGGGAACTGCCTGCCTGGCCTCAGCCTGGGAGTTATATAGGAACCAGGCCCTGCCCCTTCCAGTCAGCTGACCACTAACAGAGGTGGGTCACTGGCTCCCTCCAGTTGCCTTAGCAATCTGCACCTGCGCTCCTTCATTACTGCTCCACAAGTAGCAGGCACCTTAGTGCCCTGCTACAGTGGACAATAAGCTGAATGAGCCAACTGTGTGCCCTCGTTGCCAAGAAGGCACCAATGACATATTGGGCTGCATTGGTAGGAGCACTGCCAGCAGATCAAGGGAAGTGATTATTCCCCTCTATTTAGCACTGGTGAGGCTACATCTGGAGTACTGTGCCCAGTTTTGGGCCCCCCACTACAGAAAGGATGTGACAAGTTAGAGAGAGTCCAGTGGAGGGCAACAAAAATGGTTTGGGGTCTGGGCACATGATTTATGAAGAGATGCTGTGGGGGAACTGGGCTTATTTAGTCTGCAGAAGAGAAGCTGGAGGGGGAATTGAGCCTTCACCTCTTTGCAGGGTGGTTCCAAAGAGGACGGAGCTGGACTGTTCTCAGTGGTGACAGATGACAGAACAAGGAGCAATGGTCTCCAGTTGCAGCAAGGGAAGTTGAGGGAAAGCTTTCTCACGAAGGTGGTGAAGCACTGTAACAGGCTACCCAGAGAGGTTGTGGGTCCTGTTCTTGTAGGTTAAGGCCCAGCTAGACAAAGCCTTGGCTGGGATGATCTATTTGGGGACGGTCCTGCTTTAAGCAGGGGGTTGAACTAGATGACCTCCTGAGGTCTCTTCCAAACCTAATTTTTTTTCAGGGGTGTACCAATAATGATTTTTTGGGCTGATATTGATGGCCAATTATTAATGGGTCATATCGGCTGATATGCAACCTGGCAGCTTTGAGAGCAGTGTCGGACTAGGGAGGCATGGGGGGCATGTGCCCCCTTGATCTGTATGTGGGGTGTGGGCAGGCTGCTGCTGTGGGCTGGGGCCAGGGGTGGTGCTGGGCTTTTCCTGGTGCGGGGGAGCTGGGCTAAGGCTGCATTTACAGTGGGCACAGCCCATAGCTCCACCTCCCAGCGCTGCCATCACCTGGCCCAAGTGCAGCCTGGGCTCAGCTCCACTGCACCAGGAAAAGCCCAATGCTGCCCCGAGCCTGCCCACGCCCTGTGCACAGAACTGGGGGCACACGCCCCCCATGCCTCCCCTGGGGGTGCAGGCAGTGGCAGGAGTAGCCTCCCTATGCCCCCTGGGCAAGCCACTCACAGCTCCATCCGGCACCTCGCCCTGCCCCATCTGGGCAGTGCCTGTCCCAGCCCCATTCCCTCCCTCACAACCGGGGCCTTGATCTACCCCACCCACATCACCTCCCTCCCCCTGCCCCTTCCCCCCTAACAGATTTACCAGTCAGATGCTGCTCTCCAAGCTGCCGGGCTGGCTGCGTGCATGCTGTGGCTGTGCACACGCATGCAGCATTTATCGGCAACGTTATTAGTCACATCAGCCAAAAAAAGCTGATTGCCAATAATGTCAATTTTTCTTTTATTGGTGCTGATACAATATGGATCAGTGTATTGGTGCACTTGTATTTTCTATGATTCTGTAAAGCCTCACACTCCAGGGTAGGCTGCCATTCTTCAGTTCTCAGCTAAAGGATGTGGTTTGTGTTGTCTCTGTTTTCCCACTACATCAGCTCTAACAGAGATTTTCTATTTGGTACTAGGCTGTACTAAGCTCAGATCCAGGCCAAGGGCCCAACCAGTCAATGGAATAATCAGGGCAATCCATCCCCTGAGGCTGCAGGGAAATAAGCCTTCCCTGCAGCAGTACCCTGGGCCCACATGGGC